AGGGTTATTGTATGATACAAAGCCAGTCATTTTAAGTAGGTATCCATATATCGCATGATGTACTGTGTCCATGCTGTTACATACTGTTCAGGATTCTAGACAGGCTCACTTGTGGTGAAATAGTGTATACACACTATTAAATTGCAAACCATTATGTGGCATTATTTATTATGCTAAGGCTGCACATAGGAAATCAGGTGTTAAAAAACAATTTCAGAAGGAAAATTACATTCTTCAAAAATGAAAGCTAGCATTTGTATCTGCAGTATGCAAAGAATGTTCCAATATTTTGTATTCACATTGTACGTATTCATGTTCCAGGGTATGTTCCTTTTTTAGGCCATGTTCATAGTGGGATTAATTGGCAATCGTAATTTACCCTCATTAAAAGCCTTTTTCTGTTGCGTATTATCTGATGAAAGTCTTCTTACTTTTACTTAAATGATGCATCCCCCAGCATTAACTTCACCTCTTCACAGTGTTCTTCATGACAAGTATAATGTTTGGATCCTAAAATACTCCTATATTTGAAGTGTGGAGTTTCCTGTATAACCAGGGGATTTGGGGGAGATGTGGGGAGGGTTTTACCACTAACTTAGGTAATTGATATATGTTAAAATGATACTGCTATGTTTTGACTATCTTTCCTTCTAAAGGAAAAAAATAAATGTTATTATTGTTGCTTTGCACTCTGCATGTTTTGGATTTTTTTTTTCTAGCTATCTTATTGTGGGTTTGTAGCATTTGAAGAAACATAATCCCTTCGTATTTGTTCATAAAATCTATCTAATTTTTGCTAGAAAAAAGAAGTAATATACTACATTCCAATTTAAAACTGTGTAGTTCTTTGTATTTTTCTCTTTGATCTTGTCTGAACTCTGGCTATTGAACAGAACTTTGCAACAAGGCATACGGCTCCTTAACCTGTCAGTAGCGACCAAGAAATTCAAACCTCTTTGATTTCTGGAATTTAGATTAATGGCATAAAGGAGTCACAGGATTTATTACTACTTCTTTCCTATATTTTATTTTTTTTTCCAATTCTTTAACATGTTTTATTTTGACCATTCATTTCAGCACCAAATTTTTTTAACTTTTCTACCTGTGAGAGGTTTATACTGGGTGAGCTGAATCCTTGGTCCTCTGGAATGTTTCTCTTAAACTTTAAATATTTTTTCCAAGTTACTAGTAATGATTATTCATATTATCTGGAAGGTAAACCATGAATGAACATGAAAACTAAATTAGTTTGCTTTCTGATAATCTGTTTGGTAATGTGTTCATTGCATAAAATTTGATAAAGTCTGATTAAAAATGTTGCCATTTTAATAGTAAAGCTCAGCCGCAGGTGGAGAAGTTCTTTACTGAATACGTTTGTTTTCAAGGAATATTTGATTTTCCTGACCTTTTATGTCATTCTAATTCCATGTTATTTGAATTAAAATGTCATCTTTTTTTTTATAGTACCTAAAATAGACTTTATTAGTTTTCCTGAAAGCTATGTGCAGCTTTGCTTTGGCCCATTTAAATATCGAAAACAGCAGGATTTGAGATTTTTCTTATAATCCTCAACTAATAGAGTTTAATGCTTTGTTTGGCCCACCCTACACAGCCTAAGCAAGAGTTTTAAACAAGATTAAAAATATGACCTTATTAACCCATGGCATCTAAAGATACAGAACAAGCCTGCAGAGACATCAGTCATTTGTTGGCCAGGATAGCATGGTGCCATTCACAATCTACTTAGTCTGTTCCAGAGGAAAACATTTTAGGAGCCCAGCTTTTTTTCTTCCGTTGTTTTGACCATCGTACCAGCACCTGGGAATAAGAAAGAAAAAAGCAAAAATCTGTTTCTAAGTTGAATATTCAGTCTTTGTGATTGGAGAAAAATAAAGTTCAATTACTTCTGGAAATTTGAGGTGCAGCCTGGCTAGGTTTCTCAGAAACAATTCTGGCAGAGCAAAGGGAGAGCAGAGATGGGGCTTAGCTTTTGTTTACTGCACTTCATTAGTCCCTGAATAAAGTGTGTTTCACCATTCTTTTTTTGAAGAGAAGTTACAGTTGTGTGTAAGATGTTGAATGGGTTATTGATGGACATGTTGAATTCCAGAAGAATAAATTATCTTATTCTCAGGGAAAATTTATGTTTAGTAAACATTACAAAACACAAAATGACATGATACATTCATTGCTGTGTAATAAGATTCCTTGTTTACTGGGCATGCTATAGGGCCATGGCAACAAAACCAGAAATAGGAACTATGAGTATTCTTGTTGTAAAGATGATGATGGTTATCAAGCAGTTTGTTAATTGCTGGAGTTTTATGTCACTCCATATTCATTATCACTTTGTAGTGCCACTAGTAACATGAGGATCAGTGAAGATATGTAAATGTGGAAGTTTGACGGAAACCTATAATAAAAATAATGTGTTTTATTATATGGTATGGAAGAGTCAGGTAAATGCACACTTAGCTGATACTCTGAGAGAAAAGTGTTCCAGGAGAGGGAGCGCAACTACAGTTTGCTTTAAAAAAAAAAAAAACCAACACAAAAACAAAAGACCCCCCACAAAACAAAACAGAAGACTTTCTAAACTTCTGTCTTTCTAATGATGTCCCAAAACAAAGCAAAATGACTGAGTATTACTTCCTTACTTCATCCTTTAAAAATACCGGTATCTTGCTTAACTTTCAGCATATCAGTTGCCCTTTTGATCTCAACAGGATGGAATCTAGATACATGTTCATTAAGTTCCAAGACCCAGCTGAAAACTGGAGGCAAAATCAAGCCAGACAAATTGCTTACACTGTCAATGATAAGCATTTCCTGCTTTCATACCATTATTTACACTTTATTAAAAGAGGAACATAATTTTTAAAAAACAGAAAGTGACTGATGTTTTTGCAACCATATGTGCACTAACTGAAAAATGCAGTATTTGTGCACCTACTGTAAGTCTTGGTTTGTGGAATGGAGACTTTTCTAAGACTTGAGGCAACACAAAGCATTGAAGATGGGAAGGAAGAGGGTGAAAAGGCCTCAGTTTTCCCTCTCTTTTCCTGTCGTATTTCTTTTCCTTAGTTCAGTGGTTTTGGCCTTTCTTGGCTCACTGCCTTGTTCCCATCAGCAGTGCCAGATCCCTAAAGCAAAAGACTGGTAATCTTCAGGAATAAGGTGGTCTGTAGGTAGATCAAGAAGTATAGGGAAACCAAGAATTTACATCTGAGTATTGTTCATTTAATTTCCTTTCTGCATTGAGCTTCACTGACCTTCCTTGCCCTGCCCCAGGGTTTTGAGAATATATGCAGTGGTCAGTGATAAGAGGCTGATGTTTAGCGATAATTGTGTTTCTGTTTGGTAGAGTTCTGCTGCTGGTTCAGACATGTTCTCTACACAGCAAAGTCATCCTGAACGAGATTATTTGATGCTGCCGTTTGTTTCCATCTGTAAGAGCAGCACTTGCATTGCAATCATGCTTTCACTACTGTAGAATGTATAGTAAGATCTTCCACATCTATATCTAAAAAGCAGTATAACATGTGGCTGGCACAGTGATGTGTTCCTTGACCCTATCTTTTACAAAAGTTGCCTTAATATTTCATTTCATAACCAGAATTCCCACCACTCTTGGACATCTGTGTCTGCCTTGTTATTTTAGCAGTACTTTTTTTTTTCTGCTTCTCTGCATTCTTGATTGGTGAATATTCTTTCAGTTTCGTTTTGGTTGTTGGTTATGGATAATTATAGAAGGGAAAAAGTGATAAAAATCGTTTGCAATATGAGTATTTAACTCACTAGAATGAGTTTTTCAAGCATGAGCTGTAAGCTGAAAGTGTGAGCACTACCTTTTAAAGGATGCGGAAAGAAAACATGCTGTTGGTATTTTAAAGTCTCTGGGATACTGTGCTGGAAAATGTTAGTTTTTAAAATGAAAAAAAAATTAAAATAGTTGATATAAATACTGAAAGCGTTCTATAAAAACAGTTTAATGAAGATTTAAAGGTCACTTGGAGAATTTAGCTAGGTTTTTTTAGTAATTACATGGCTAACTTGGTTTACCTCAAAGTAGTAATTTTATGCTGTATACAGCAAGAAATTAATAATGTAAAAATTTTGTCATAGTGCATTGCAATTGAGTTACAGTTTACAGACTCAATACTAGTAATACCTTTAGGATGCTAATTCCTGGTTATACCAGATGTTTGATCATGCATTTCATTTGATTACACGATTTAACAATGAAAATAACTATTGTCGAATTTGACATAAAATACAGTACAAATATAATAGAGGCAATGGTTTGCACTGTAACTTGTTTGAGCCTGTTACACTTTCTAATTTGGCTGCAGTTAATCCCAAATGATAGTGCTCATATAGAGCATTCCAGGTGGTTTTCTAGCCTACTCTTCTGCTTGTGGTTAAAAGGTAATTTTACATATTTGGATTAGCCCTTTGTTATTTATTTTAGACTTTATATCCAAACTGTTAGTTTGAATGTCTCTGTTGAGTTCTCTGCTGTAGCTTTTTCTGCTAGGACATCATTTTTGTGCTTTAATTCTTTTATACTTTGAGGTTCTTCGGTCTCCTTTAATTTGTTCCTGCTTTTTATAACTTACCCTTTTTTCTTTTTCTCTTGTTTGTTTCCAGTTTATGCTTTTCTAAAGAATTTCCACATATATCTAATATCTTGCATTCAAATGAATCAAAATCTATTTGATTGTGCAGAATGTCTTAGTCCCAGTCCAAGACTGCAGTAAGTTTTTATTTAAGATAACTAGGTGCTGGTTTTTGGATACAAATAGATGTTTACTGTTTAATTAGAAAAGTTATGAGATATTTAGTCAAGTCTGTCTACAAAAGTATTTGGTGACTGAGAGCGCTTTAGTCAATAGTGACAATACAGTTTTGATAGAATACTTTTCAAGTTCATGTTCTGTTTCAAAAAGATGCTCTGCTTTTATGGGTTATACATTTAATAATGTATTTTTTTGTTACAGGGAGAAGAAAATGAAAATTCAGGATATTAAAAACAATATTAAAGAAGCTATAGAGGTAAATGCACAAACTATTGTTTTTAGTTATTCAGAGCTAGCTAGCTATTTAAACACTTTCTGCAATATTTTATTTTTATTTCTTTGCAGACAATAGTGACAGCAATGGGCAATTTGGCACCTCCAGTTGAACTAGCCAATCCAGAGAACCAGTTTCGAATCGACTACATCTTAAATTTAGCTAATCAGATAGACTTTGATTTCCCACCGGTAAGTAAATAATTCAGACTGGCTATGGTCATGATTTTTTGCAAATTATTAGACTACCATTTACTACACTGCACTGTAGTAAATATTTACAAAAAACAGTGAGCTGCGTTTTGGGAGTTAGTACAGCAGGTGTCTTTGGTCAGTGCTATTCAAATAAAGCGTATAGCAACACGACTAGAACATTCCAGCTGATCATTTATGAACACAGAGACACTCACCTGCTTTCTTGTGCTCTACTGAAATAGTCAGCTACGGAGTTAAGATGGGCAGTGCTGGCAGCAAAGTTCGGTTATTGTTGGGAATTGCCTTGTGTAAAAGGAGTGAAGATATACACAGCAGTCCGTCGATGATTAGCTGGCATTTAGTGATATTGTATTTCTCTCTTTTGGAAGAAGAGTAGAGTTTTCTTGCTGATTCAGACATGTTCTCTGACAGCTGTGTCAGCCAGACTTTCTGCAAAGACTCCACACACTCCGTCCTTGCCCCAGCCCTCCCAGTCCTAGTTAATCATTCAAAATGCCAGCAGTCCCAGAGTAAATGCAGAAAGTATAATTATTTGGTTAATGGTATAACTTTGTGCCCACTCACTATGATTAATTTCTACTGTATCTCAAACAGGGTAATAGCAGAAGCCCATGAAAATAACAGTTTGCAAACACTGAACTCTTAAATACTGAGAAGATATATTTATTAATTACCATGAAGTACCTTATACTTGCAGTAATACAGGAGTATTTCAAAGCTTATATACTCTCTCTGTGCACTGTTCCAAAGGTCTGAGGGTAGCAATTATGATAATGTATCAAAATCAAGATCCTTTTACATCAGATTTTTGTATCCAGCAGTAATCAGTCCCAGATGCTTGAAAGGAAAGTGCAAGTGCAAATAGTAGTAAGATGTGGGATAGTTGCACCAGAGCAATGTTTTTGTAACTGATTTGTAAACATTATTGAACCAAGCTAGTCTGTGAAACCAACGACGGTTACCTTTTGCAACTGTTGCGGCTTCTGCAATTTCTCTGATTTGCTCAGCCTTTACTAAAAGAAAAAAATACACAACCAAAACCACGTACTTTGTGTACAAGGCAGAAATCATATGCTATTAGCAATTAATTGGAAATACTGGCATTGTAATCTTCACATCCAGTAATTTTCAACATTCAGCAGGCACAGACAGGTTGATGGAGAGAGGGATGTATGATTCTTCTCTAGCACATAAAATGTAATATTAGTCATTTTATCTTAAAGAATCTTAACTAAATTAGAGATGTTGAGTTTTTTGACTTGACAACTCTTTAATTTTGACGCTTGTCAGTGTTATTCATAGGAATATTTGGTCCCCTCATGGGTGATCTCTCCTGCTAGGAGGACAAAAAAATTTGTGCTTTCAAGATTGTTTTAGGAGAATATTCGAGAGAAAAGACAGTGGCTCCATACTCCACCCTGTGTGCTCTTGAACTGGCTGCATGCCCACGACTCTCCTACTGCCCATTGTTTTGTGATAGTTCAGGTTGTGATCTGTAACAATGCAGTAATAAGTTCCTGTGACCTGCCTTGTACTGAAATATTTGATTTTCCTTGTCTCTTCTATCTCAGAGGGCTTTTTTATTCTATTCAGTTGGAATGTAGTGATTTTTTTTTTTAGGTGTTTTTTTTTTCTTTCCACTGAAAGCAAAGGGTAATTATGTAGTAGTAAGTGAATAAGCCAAGTGTTTTATGTGTTTAAAAAAGTTTATTAACTTTTTTATATAAAAATGAATATTCAGTATGTATTATCTCTGGTAGGATACAAGGTAGCAAACCCTTGCTGTCTAAAGCAATAGAAATGTACTTACCAAGTCCATAAATAATTTCAAGTTCAGTGAAGAGTCTTTGTGTTGAATGACACACAACTGCAGAAATAACAGTGCTCCAATAAAACTAGTTTTTCTTCTCTGAGCAAAGGTATTGTCTTAAATTTTTAAGCCCTGAGTCTACAGAGGTTTAGGCGTGTGCATAACTTTGACTAGTGGCTAGCTTCATTGGCATGATTAACTATTTCATATGTAAATGTTTGTAGGGTTGAGGTTTTAAACTAAATATACATTAGCCACTAATTTTGAAGGAGTACTGTTGGCTTCCTCTGCCCTTGGTGATTATATAAGATTATATTAAATCAGATACATATATAATATGTATCTGATTTCTGCGTTTGTCTGAATGTAGGTTATAGTCCTTTGGTACCTGAAAAACTAAACCTGTATTTTAATTGTGTATTTCAAACCGAGTTAAGATCTAGAATGTCCCTAGATGCCAACTCTCAGTGCATAGTAATAGAAATACATGATCCCTGAGTACCTCTATAAAAATAATTTTGACTTTGTTATAGATTAATTAAAAGTACTTTGAAGAAAATAATTTTTTGTAAGTGGAAAGGATAGCCTTATGCTGGTTATGCTTTATATCTAAGGACATCTTGATTATCTACTTTTTCCTCCAGTACTCTGATGGGAGAACTGGCAGTTGAACTTTTTCCTATATAGTGTATTAATGCAGAAGAGGGGAGAGGAATTTTTAGTGATGTTAGCTGTATGTAATGCTGTCTGTTTTGAGTTGTAGAACTTGCTTTCTTTCTCTTCCATTTTCTTCGTGGGGAATCATATTTCAGCTGTTATGAAGACATACTTTCCTCAGTATAGTGTTTGATGCTGCTTTTCTCTGCCGTAGGAAGAACATGAAGGTAGGGAGAAAGAACACTCATGTACCAAGGAGATGTTCTTTGAGAGCTGTGACTACTTAGTGCCATACTCTCTTAAAATACAAGACCATTTTGCTTCCCTTTAAATGCCCATTTATCTTTTCCCAAACATTAATTTAGCAAGCTCTCCAGAAGGTGATGCACAGACATACAGAGTTTAGAACTAGGATTGTGTGATTTCTTCTCCAGCTACAGGAGGTCTTCTTTAGAACATCAGAGGCTTCATACTTCTTCTATACATGAAGGAGCAGTTTAAGTGAAGTTTAAAGTACACACCAAAATCTGTGTTTATAATTACCAGGTGGAGCTAGAATTCAAGTTTCCTAACAGCAAGGTTCAGTGTAATGTGAAATGTGGAAGAAAGTACAGGAAGAATGTAGGAGCTTCACAGTGTGATGATAGTATAGGGGTCTGTCTGTACATATCTATGATGCGAAGAACAACTTTTGTATTCTGATATTCTAATTCTTTTCTTAGTCTGTGTCCATCTGTTTGCTTTGCAGGTTTTGACTCTGAGGAAATGTGTAGAGTATATTGTATTGAACTAAAAAAAGAAAAAACAACTCAAGTTAAAAATAATGTTGGTACAGTGCAATGCAAGGTTAAACATTCCCTTTAAAACTGAAAATTTAGTAAGTTGGGAATTTATTAGTTCAGCACAATTGGTATTAAGCAATTAGATTTCTTGAATACAAATAGTAGCATATGGGCAAAGGAAAAGGGTGGTACTTACTGAAAGGAATTCTGACCACATAATCATGCTGGTGATTTAAAGTATTGCGATATTTAGTAGATCAAATCTGTAGTTGCTTTTGTAGTCCTTCCCTGTTGTTTCACCATACTGTATATATCACTGGCAAGAACCTAGAAGAGTTTCAGTCACACAGCCGATGGTCCAATTTGTGTTTGGTATATGTTCAACAGCCATTTTCTGAAACACAAATTACAAAAAGAAATCCAAAACTATGTGACTGAAGTGAATTGATAAAGGCTAGGAAAATAACCACGTTGAAAACCTGTGGAGAATGCTAATTAGTAATATTCTAGGCAAAACAACTGAGTACTAAGTTCATGTTTTTATGTGAAGTATTTTCTGCCTTAGCTCATTGTGGACTTCTGAAATAGCTGGAGGACATAATATCTCCATGGGTAATGAAGTGCTGTTCTGATTTAGTTTTGCGAAATACTTTGCTTCTTTTGGGGGTAAATTCTGTCATTATTATTATTAGGGTTGTTGCACAGCCTTTTCTTTGAGCATAGCAGAATGGAAATAACTGAAGTCTAATCAGGTCCTTGTAATCTATTGTTAATATGAATAGCGCTGATAAATACTATGTGTAATATTCTATTTGCGTATTCTTGCTAAAATGACAGGACATTAAATGACTAAGTCTTGCCAAAAAAGTCTAGCCCTGCCAGTTTGAATGAACACTGAGAATAACAGAGAGATCATGCTTTCCGTACAGAAGTACTGAAAGTAGAATTCTGTTTTTTTCTAAAACACTACAGTACCAATTTTTTTATGAAAGATTATCATTTAAGGAGGACTATCATCATTGCCTTTATTCAAGTTGGTTTTTTATCTTGTGATTAAATTGTCGCTGGCCAGCATGATGACTTTAAACAAAGGGAAAGAAAGTTGAAGTAAGAAGACCTCCAAGTTAATCAAAGTGAACTCATTTGAGACAGCTGAAGCATTTAATTTTAATAATCAAGCTGATTGTGAATGTTCGTTAGTTAAAGCCTTAGAAATGGGGTAGTAATCTGTTGATATATTAGTGCAGATCTGAAAGCATGCGTGTAATTACTGCTGCTAGGCTTGTGTTTTAAGATTATATCATGATAAATGATATCTTTTTAAAAAGAAAATTGTTAGTGATTTAGAAATTATAAAATTAACTATGCTCATCATTGAGGCTCTCTAATGAAACAAGTACAATAGTTGGTTTGCTTGAGCAGTAATTTTGAGAGCTTGCCTGAGTTTGTGCTAGAACTTTGTAGGAATAAATTTTACTCTTTAATATTCCGTGTAACCAGATTAATACATGCTTTACAGGATCAATGTGATGTGTAAGAACAAAGACCTCGCAAATCAAAATTACAACTGTTCCATCAGTTAAAATGGAAAATAAAACCAAATTATACTCGTAGTTGAGGCTTCCAAATGGCATTTCTATCACTATTGTCCTTTGATGCATTTAGCTCAACACAATTGTATATGGCATGTTTTCAGTGTCAAAAATCAACCTCGTGAGTATTTTCAA